CTGCCACATGGCTCTGGGGAAATGAGAAAGGAAAAGGACAGGCTCCTCCTAAATCTTTGCAGTTTCCCAAAAACTCCCCCAAAATCACATGATTTGTTTTTCTTGCCAATCTTGTAGAGGAGTCAAGAAAATGAAAGGTTTAGGTTTTCCTTCTGCTTGAAGTGAAAGCAAAGTCCCAAGGGAGCAGTGTGGGAAAAATTAATAGTGAACAGGGTATTGAAGACAGCAAAGAAGTGGGAGAAAGTTTTGTGGGTTGAAAAGCCAGGGAGCTGGGCCTGCTGAATTCCAGCCATGCTGTGGGGAATTAACCAGCTCCTCCATCACGAGCAGCATTTCAAAGGTACGACACTGCCAGGCCTGCTGCTCCTCACTCCCTTCCTTTCAAGGGTTTACGTGGCCTCAGCACATTTTCAGAACAACATTCTTGTTTGATTTAAAAGGAAAAAAAAAAGCCAAGATTCCAGAAACGGAGTGTGACATACTCTGAAAATTGCTGTATCTTCTCCATGTCCATTGCTCTGTGATCTTTGTTGCTTTGAATGCTTCCAAAAATAACTTGAAAGAGATGCGCGGGTTGATTAGTGCCAAAACGAGTAGTTACTGATCTAAATGACTGCTTGGAAAGAAAGGGTGATAGAGGAACCATGCTCTGCTGTCCACATGTTTAGACCTCCTGTCTCCTTTTGCTTGAGCTAAAGGGGAAAGCCATGTATCGTGGCACAGCAACAAAGAAAATCCTCTGCCTGCTTTAAAGTTATTGGGAACTTTCATGAATTTAAGTCATTAAAAGATGTAAAACATTTGACTTCAAGTACATTTTGCTAACTGAACCAGCTTGTATCCAACAAAACACCCCCTCAGCAGCTCCTAATCCTTAGGTTGACCAGATGGCCAAGACATGATATGGATCAACCTTGGGGGCACTCTGAAATGCTGTAGATCTGCTGAAGATCCTTCTTAGTAGCAGAGAAAAACAGCAGCTTGTTACTTGCTCCAGCCACTCTCCCTGTTCCCCAGCACTGTACTGCAGGAGATGTTGCAAGAGACTGGGAGATGGGCCTCTCCTCTTCATTGTAATCAGGGAGCAGCTAGTGCCTGCCTTTCTCAAACCTTTAGACAAGACTTTTGCAAGTCTTTAGACAAGACCTGTACATGAGAGTAAGCTGTTGGGAGCAAGCCTGTACCTCAGCATAAGTCCAGAGAAGGTCAACAAAGCTGGTGTAGGGTCTAGAGTGCAAGCCCTATGAGGAGCAGCTGAGGGAACTGTGGTTGTTTAGTCTGGAGGACAGAAGGCTGAGGGGAGACCTTCTCGCTCTCTACAACTGCCTAAAAGGACATTGGAGTGAGGTGGGGTGAGTATCTTCTCCCAAGTAACAAGTGATAGGACAAGAGGAAATGGCCTCAAGTTGGCATTTGGAAATTCCTCTGGGCTTGGGTTTACTGTCCACCCAGCCAAAGGGAGTTGGCACATGCTGTAGGTAGCTCAGCAGTGGCTAAAGAGGAGCTGTCCTGATGTCCTGATCTGCAGAGATGTGAGTGAACTGACATGTCCAAGGTGCTGCTTGCTTTCAGAGAGCTTTGAAAGCTAGCTGTGATTATGACATATAAAAAATAACTTTAAATTGTTCATGAAAAAATTCCGTGGGATTGGAGCCAATGTCCATTGTTATGAAATGCAATGGGAGAAGAATAAAGCTAGGACAAAAGAGAAAAGACAGTCTCAAATTATAAAACGGGTACATATTTTTCCTGTTTCTCCATCTGTGTTATGAGCCCAATGGCTGCATCCAGTTGGTGACCACAGGGTGGATAACTGATGTATCATGAACAGCACAAAGGTAACACGTGTCCTCCTCTATGTCCTTCTTATGTTGGAGGCTCCAGAATTGGAGTACTGTGTTCAGTGGAGCTCCTGGAGAGAATCCAGAGAAGAGCCACGAAGATGATCGATGGGACAGAGCACCTCTCCTAGAGAACAGGCTGAGAGAATTTGGGTTGTTCAGTCTGGAGAAGAGAAGGTTCTGGGGAGACCTTATAGGGGTCTTTCAGTACCTGAAGGGGGCCTACAGGAAAGGAGGGACTTTTTACAAGGGCTTGTAGTGAGAGGACAAGGGTTAATGGATTTAGGTTAGACAGGAAGAAATTCTTTAGTGTGATGTTGCTGAGACTTTGGAACAGGTTGCCAAGGGAAGTTGTGGAAGCCCCATCCCTGGAAGTGTTCAAGGCCGGGTTGGATGGGGCTCTGAGCAACCTGCTCTAGTGGGAAGTGTCCCTGCCAATGCAGGGGGGTTGGATCTAGACGATTTTTAAGGTCCTTTCCAGCCCATACCATTCTATGAGGAGTTGTACCTTATCTGTATGTTAAGTTTATGGGACAAAACTGAATGGAGCCAGGTCTAATTGTATTTACAAACATCTGTAAATAACAATAATGGCTTCATATCTGCGTGCAAGATGTTATATGTGAGATTAGACATGAGCCCCAAACAGTAATCAGCTCCAAATCGTTTTTAATAAACAGAAACTTTAATAAAACAGTTTTTAGAAAAGTACAGGAAAAAAAAAAAAAAGAGCAGAAAATATCTCTATTAACCACTAGTATAAATCCTAAGGTGTTTTATTTTAAAGTTATGACTTGCAATCTTCACTAAATTGGTATCTGGAAAATATCATAGTAAAAACAGATTACTGCTGGTATCTTACAGAATATAGGTAATAAATTCTCCTCATATTTTCCCCTTTTATAGCTAAGGCAAAAAAATACTTTCCTCATGTTTGCAAAATTTATTATCAAAGGAGCCACTGAGAAGTCAGATTACCACTAAAAGCCAGTTCTGTTAAGATATGTCTTAATGTCAAAACTTTGATTAAAAACATTTCACTACTTCCTACAGAGGAATGGATTCAAACCACACTACACTAGGTCATGGCCAAATCCTAATTTAGTTTTATTTGATTATACAGCTGTGATGTGTGTTGCCTGTAAAGGATGAGTAGAAGCTATGGAAGAGTTTGCAAGTTTATGTTAGGGTCTCATTTATGTGTTTTTTTGTTTTGGTGAAAAAGCAAAGAATAAACTCAATGGATGTATTTTTGGGTATAAACTCAAGTATTTTAAAATTCTTTCTCTTTCAATTTTGGATCTCAATATGGGAAAAAACCCACTGCAGTAATTTTTACATAGTGTGATCTCTATTCAGAATGCAACCTGGAGGAAATTGTCCTGCAGACCAAGAGTATCACAAATGTGCTCTCGTGTTTGGTGTAACAAAAATGGGTCTAAGTTCAGACACCACTTCCCTGTCAGACGTGGAGTTAATAACCACCTCCTGTGCTTTGGGATTTCTAACTGCAAAGCAGCCTCAGAGTTCCTCCTCCTCACTGTATGTCTGTCCTGAAGATCTTAGTTACATTTGTGAGCGGCATCTGATGGTGTTTCTGTTCCTCCTGCCACCTCTACACTCGATTTATTTCTGTTCCTAATGCAGAGGAAAACTAATAGAACAAATTCTCTGGTATCTCTGTGGTTTCTGAGGTTATGGACTTAGAAATGCAGTGAAAGTTATTTGTGGCTGTGATGGTCATTGGGTACAGCAGGATGTACAGAACCCAGCAACTGTTGAATGAGACCTTGTGTTAAAGTGGAGTTCTAGGTGTGTATACAAAACTAACTTCACAGCAGTGCTTGCTTATTTTGATAATGAATTTTAGTTATGATTTATGGAATAAAGAATGCCTTTCTGAAAACAGAGGAAGGTGCTGCTCATAACAAACCATTAGTAAGCAATACTTATAAGCCCCCTTTTGACACTCCCTTCTGAGCTTTCTAGGGAGGGCAGGTGTATTTGAAGAGGAGAATTAAGGCATTGGGATACCCAGTCAGCCCAGAAAAGTGATAACCTTTCAAGCTGTTTTGCACACTGATTTTTAAAAGCAAATACACTGACAGAGGTAGCAATGCATTGTATAGATTCAAAGACCAGGGCACAGATAAGTTCTTCTGAACAACACGTTGCTTAAATTATGGAGATAAAAAATATATTCATGATGTTAAGTTTCTGAGAAGAAAACACATTTTTTTTTCTTGTTCTAGTTAGAAGAAAGCTCAGTCCCTCTTCAGGAGCTTCTTCCTGAGGAGCCGGAGCCTGGACATGGCCACATCCCAGTCTGCATAGGCACCTTCCAGGTGACGTGTCACCTCTGAGCCCGACTCGTAGCTTTGCCGCCCATGGAGCACCCGCCAGTTGTCAAATGTCACTATGTCCCCTAGAAAGAGAGGGCACAGGGTGTAATATTTGGCGTGTTCTAGTTGATTCCTTCAAACAGAGGAGGCAGATTTTGCATCTGCAGTTAGGGAGCAATGATTTCAAGTAGCTGAGCTGGAGACACAGCCACAACACAGGAGGTTACATTTAGCTGGTCATTCTCTAGCACAGAGGGAAGGTCCCTTTCAGCCTCTGCTTCTTTTCTTGTACAACCAGGAGTTACAAAGCAGAGGGGCAGGGGAGTCCATGCTGAGAAAAACAGGCCTTGAGGGGAAAGGTGCCTACTGCAAATCCCCAGGAAGGATAAAAAAGTGAAAATCACTAGGATGATTTTTATTTGCTCTGTCTGGTATTAACTGTAGGATACAAATCTTGCATCACTATCCCTGCTGAGAGAACTTTATGAGAACAAAGTCAAGCCATTGAAAGTTAGGAAATCACACAGTTAAGACTAGCATGCCATTTCAATTTTTCTCCCTTGTGTGCCACTGTTATGATGAATCTCTAATTAAATAACCTTATACTCTTTCTTTCCTTCTCCTCCTCTGCTCTATCACCATTTTGCTGCATTAATTGATGGGATAGATGGTACTAATGTAACGTGAGGTACTTTGTTCCACCATTTATTATGTGTTCTTATAAATGATTTTATTGCACGTTCCCAATAGAGAGATTAATCTCCTCACAGACATTCTAAAGACATGAGCATCACAGTACATAAGGAGGTCACATATACGGATGAATTTACTTTTGTAACATCTTTTGAGAGATGAGGGACTACTCATATCTTTATTTTATAGCTGGGGAATGAAAGAACAGAGATGAAGGCCAAAGTAGTTAAATACATGCACGGACCGACTTTTAAAGAATAAAGGGCATTTTTGCAGCATGTTTTATGTTCAAAACCCAGCCCTGGATAACTCTAGCTGAAGTTTAGAGCACTCAGCACCTCTGCAGATATCCTGCATAGGCCACCCAGCAGAAGGCAGCACAGCAGAAGTGGCCTCCAGTAATTCATCCAGCATTATACTGGCATTCGGTGTCTAAGCAAAGACGATAACAGAATTCCCCATGGAATTCCATTCAGCTTCCTTCAGTGTTCTGCACATGATGCATCTGTATCATCTTCTATATATTCTACAGCTCCTTCAGCCATTGTAAAGGTGCCCCACTGATAAATTAAAGCCTCAGAAAGATGTATAATTTGGCTCAATGTCTGTAGTCTGCATCAAATGAAACAGAGGGAAAAGTATGGGATCATGTATCCTTTAATGAGCAGAGACTGCATGGGGATGGCACAGCAGTCATACATGTGGTATTTCCCATCTGTGGTGCTATTGATAAGTTCCAACTTCACAGAATCACAGAATCTTAGGGGTTGGAAGGGACCTCGAAAGACCATCTAGTCCAACCCCCCTGCCAGGGCAGGGTCACCCAGAGCACATCACACAGGAACGTGTCCAGGTGGGTTTTGAATGTCTCCAGAGAAGGAGACTCCACAACCTCCCTGGGCAGCCTGTTCCAGGGCTCTGTCACTCTCACAGGAAAGAAGTTTTTTCTGATGTTTACGTGGAAACTCCTATGTTCCAGTTTGCACCCATTGCCCCTTGTCCTATCACTGGACATCACTGAAAAAAGCCTGGCTCTGTCCTTCTGACACTCACCCCTTACATATTTGTAAACATTGATGAGGTCACCCCTCAGTCTCCTTTTCTCCAAGCTAAAGAGACCCAGCTCCCTCAGCCTTTCCTCAGAAGAGAGATTTTCCACTCTCTCAATCTTCCTTCCCAGCTCTCCAGCCTATCTAGGTCTCATTGAATGGGAAACCCTCCTCATAGGTAAGGATGTTTGATGTAGTATAAAGGTACTTTGGACTAATCAATAGCTAGACTTTATCACTGCTTTTTGTGTTTGTTTTTTTTTCTTTCTAGTGTAGCAGTGGCAAACAAAATCTGAGAGATGAATAAAGGATTCAGTATGAAACAAACCAGGTGACCAGAGGACTGCAACTTCCTCTCAGTACCAGTGCTAACAATCCTCCAGTGTTTTGACTGTTAGGAAAAAAAACAGGTGAAAAATCACTGCGAGGAGAAGCAACTTACTGACCTGGTTTCAGCTTGTAAGTAAACTTGTGTTCTGAGCTGTTTAATAAATCATCAAATTCCTTTAGAGCTGCATAAAATGGCCTCACTTTTTCAGCTGGTACGTCAAACACTGTGTCTCTTGTTGCATTATTATAATTGATGCGAACTGCTTGGCCTCTGGAATCCACGCTGTGCAGAGAAGGAATGGAAAAGGAATGTATTTATGCTGTTACTGAGAGACTTTAGGGTGGTGAAACAGCAACTGGACTCTCCTGGTGGAATTTCAGTATCTTTCTATAGTGAAATTTGGGTTGTTATTGGGTTGAATTTTGATAATTAAGGCTAATGAGTAAATGGGATAATCAGGAGCAAGTGTAGACACTTGATTTCCTCAAACATCTATATTCTGTACACTTTACTGTAAAACTCGAAACTTTTAAAATTCAGAAGAGATTATGATAACCTGCATTTTGTCTTGTTATAATACATAGTTCTTAATCTAAACAGACTCAGCTGCTGTTAACCTGTCTCTGCACCAAGGAGTTCACTAATCACCACCACATCTTGCTGCTGTGTGGCAAAACATAGTAAGGAAAAATATGTTGTGGTGTTATGAAGAAAAGAACAAGTAATACCCTGGCAAAAAAAACAAAACCCAATTCCCAACCAAACGACAAAAAAACCAAACCCAAAGCCCAGAATAACTGCAGACCAGTTAGAGCAGGGTTTCCCCACGAGGTGGCAGGAGCAGACCTTCTCCTACCAACATGTCATTCACCCGACTACACTGACCGATTTTATTGAAACTACTCACTCTATAATCCTTTGTTTACATTGCACAGCAAAATCGCAGTAGTCCACCCCAACATCTGTATAGTCTACAGCAGTAGAGGACAGGATCTGATATGCTTGAGGATTTTGTTTCTTCAGCTGGTTGGATACGTGGAATCCATCTACAACTTCACTTTCACCTCCTGTCGTGGTTTGCTTTATGCAGTGGAGGAACTGAACCTGGAATGAATGAATGAATGTCTCATTACAAGAAGAACTAGCTTGCATATTTAGCTATTCATTAGTATTAGTTCCCTCATATCTGTTAATCTGGTGTTGTTTTGGTTTTGTTGGTTTGTTTTTGTTCTGTTTTTTCTTCTTCAGCTAAAGACTGAGCTCCCATTGCTGCAGCTTCAGAACCCTCTGCCACCACTATCACAGAGGCAGCAAATTCAAGCAGCAGGTTCACAAACCCATCCCATTTGGGATATCTTCTAATGCTTGCAACCTTCAGGTGATGTTAATGTGAAGTATTTGGCACTTTCTTGTTGATAAATTACATTGTGTTTTTTTAAATGATACAAACAACCCACACAAAGTACTTCACAACATGAGAAGGTGAAGTTGTAGGTATGAAGCTTATAGAAGTAAACTTTCCCAGGGTTATCGTTGTCTCTTTGTACAACTTCCCACAACTTTTCAGTTTTCTAGTGAATTATTTGGCTTAGGCTTTGATAAGACAGGGACTAGGTGAAAATCTATTTTCTGTGGCTGTTGTCCAGCTTTACAGCAGCTTCAGAACCCTCTGCCACCACTATCACAGAGGCAGCAAATTCAAGCAGCAGGTTCACAAACCCATCCCATTTGGGATATCTTCTAATGCTTGCAACCTTCAGGTGATGTTAATGTGAAGTATTTGGCACTTTCTTGTTGATAAATTACATTGTGTTTTTTTTTTTTTTTGTCTAATTATGAAAAGGCAGATAGGGATCTAATTTCAATCAACTTATGGAAAACAGAATGTAACAATAATATTTCTTCTATGTTCTCCTCCTGAAGTGAATAGATTTGTCCTAAGATGTCACAACTTGACTACAGTATTTAGACACCCAACTTCTTCAATACAACAAAAGCAGCATCAAAAGCACATACAGGACCTTGATGCTTTCTGCTATGGTAAAATTCTCAATACCTTGTGAAGATCCATTTTAAATTGTGACATACATAATGGGCTTGTTATGCAGAGCTTACATCATAATGCATATATTGCATACCCACATGTATATGGATTGTTATATAGAGATTCATCTATTGTTAATTTTACATTGCTCTTTTCAGGCGAAATTCAGAGCACTGAACTCTAACCATATTTCATGCTGTAGGAACATTTCCCTTTCCCCTTCTGTGTTGTGAAAAAGGCAGTAGATTCACTTTACCCCAGGTGGATGCTGCAGAACAGGGTAATCAGTGTGAAAACATAGTTTCCCAGTTGTGTAAGCCACATTGTTAGCGTCTGCTTTGTCTTGCACTTGCCAAGTTGGTCTTTATAAGGGAAAAGAGAAAACATGTTAAAACAGCCAGCCAGCTGGCCAGTAAAAAGAGTAATTCAAGCTTTGAACGTGAAAATATTGTAAAATTACAAAGAATTAATGATTTAGCACTGTCTCTCCACCCCAGCAAAGAAGGCTGATTTCAGCAGTCCTAGACCTGAGACCTAGAAACTCGAGTGTGCTGAGGGACATCTGCCCAAAAAGTAGGATCTAGAAAACTGATGGCTTTCCAGCACCAATACTTTCCTGAATGCAAGGATGTCACAGTTTGACCACAAAGGATCAGCTGCAGTCACTAGCCTAGAGGCATCCATTAGGATAAATCACCATCTTATTGCTGAGGCTTCAGAAATGAGTGGAAGTTGGCCCATTTCTTTTTATCAGCCTTCCATTTTTCCCTGCCAGGTGGAGCACATTACCAAGGAAATATGACATTGTTAAAGGCTAAGTAGCTTTCCCCACAATTTTTTTTAAGCTTTATGTTCTTAGAAAAAACCAACAAGACCAGTATCTTTTTGCAGAGAGATTTGCCTGTCATTTAAAGGCTTGCCTCCAGAGCAAAATGTCTTGATGAAAGACTTTGTAACTTTTTCGCTTTCTCTGATACTCTTCCTGAGAACTACCAGCATTTATTTTGTTATATGGTTTCTGTCTTGAAATTCGACAAAAATCAGTACCAAAAAAAAAGTCTTAATTATCAGACAAAGACATGAATACATCACATTGCAGCACGATCAAAATTGGTTTGGAGGGACACACCGTGCAGGAGAACATAAGACCAAGAACCACACATTTTGTTTGCACATTGTTCACAAGATTGAAGACAGTGCTCAGCAGATGCACGTGACAGATCCAGACATTTGTCTGGAAAAGTGTAAGTCACCATATCCAGTCCACATAAACACAAGAGCATAAGTGATTTAAGAGAAAATATGAAACTAGTTTTTCCCTTGTGAAATATTATAGACCAAATAAATTATGTTTCAGGTGGTCTGTATCTAGCGTTACTGCTTAATAATAGTTTAGAAAGAATATAGGCTAAAGAACATGCAGACCAAAATGATTTATATATAGCATATAAACATTTGTTTTAGGAGTGTTATTTAGTATAGAAACTATGCAAAATGCTAAACTTCATGTTCTGAAATTGCCAGGGCGAAAACTCCCTTGAATATCTTCAAATGTATTTAACTGCATGGAAGAAACAATTTTTATTATTTGGTACAGCACATATTCATCAGTACATTACTTCAGTGCTCAAGTATGATAATTTCAACCACACTTCTGTAGTTTCCAATTTTACAGCCAAAAACCAGCCTGTTACAACATCTCTGTCATTAAGACTTGAAGGTAGCTAGGGTCACTATAGCTTCAATTTAAAAGGCTCCAGTGTCACTTGATGGCTCTAAAACGTTTTCATTTATATGGGACACATGCAATTACTGGAAAGGCAGTACTTTATAAAATCATTGTAAGGTTTTTGCAAAAACAGTCAGTGATTTTGTGCTCTTACGCTTTGCAAGGGAAGCAGGTCCTTGGGAGCCCTTCCTTCCATGCCAGGAGCTTCACTCAAAGCTCAAGTTCTTGACTTGAAGTCAGCAATGCTAATAGGGAGCTCAGTGCTGAAGGTGACAACAATCAACCTTACTTTGTCAACGTCTCAACTAAGCTAAAGTATCAACTCAGTCATGGGGAGAGTGCACGAGATGTGAAGGAAGAAAATGTGGGTAATGTCAGAGGACTCTTGACCCTTAAGGAGAGCAAACTGGAGTGGAATGGCTTACAGCTGAGTAATTAGGGTCAAATATCAACATAATTGATGAAGCTTTTTGGCACCTGGCAGGTGTAGGAATTTTAGCATTAAGTGGCAACATGAACTCAGTCTCCCTGAGCAGAATTAGCCCATCTGTTACATCCTTAGTCTTGCAAAATGGCTGTGCTACGACCTGAAGCTACACTTGAATCATCTGGTCTTGAACTTCATTAAACCTGTAAGTCTCATTCATAAGAGATTTGGGACCTATGTGCTTCTCTTGCAGATGAAGCCCTCTGTGAGGGGCAGGTGGTTTGGCTGTTCCAGTGGGAGTGGTGGGGACGTGAAGGAAGCCCTCTGTGCCACCCCAAGCCCTGGACAAGGCTTTGAAATAAGGGAGGAACACGAGGTCTAGAGCATGAGAATTTGGAGAAATGAATTGTGGTACGAGTGGAAAGGCTGTTAATGGAGTTGTGCCCCTGTAACATAAAGAAAAAGCTTACCTTAAAAGTGTGGAACCCCTTGATGGTGTTACATGGCTGATTGAGAGAATGTTTCCACTTCTTACAGTAATGACATTTTAGGCAGCCCATACCAAACAGACAACTAGACAAGAAAGGCTTTTGTTTTCCCATGTGTCAGGGTTATATTCATTGCTATTACATTTCATTTTAAAATTCATGGCCCTGTTGTGGTAATGTTTTATTTGGCAAGCTTTCCAATTTCAAATTTATCCTTTTATTTGCAATATTTGGTAGGCCTTGTATTAGGCTGCTAGTGAAACAGCAGGGGAACTACCCAAAGTTATTATTTTATTATAGTTGTAAAAACCACCTCAGAATTGGATGCCAGAAATGAACTTCTGTTCCACAGGTGATGGACTGTAAAATGCTGCCCTAAATCTGTTGTTAAGGCTGAAAACTCAGTGGAGTTTCTGCTACTGCAGGAAATACACAGAGCAACAAGACCAGGCACTACAGTAACTATAGCTGAAAATGAAACAGGTTAAATTAGGAGGAAAGACACTATAGAGAAAGAAGTCTTTATTTCTCCATAGTATTTTGTAGGCTTGGTTCCAGATACATATGGTAAAAGAAAAATAAGAAATTTGTTCCTTATAAAACACTCCCCCATATATCCAAAAATAAGCCCAAACAACTGAAGTGTTGTTTGTTTTTTAAGACTTCATGTGATGAATTGCACATTTAAGAACCACTGGGTTATTAAGCTGTTTGAATATAGTTCCCTAACTATTTTCTGCTATGTTTAGCATGTTACCACTTCATGCACATCTGTATTGAGACATTTGAAACTGGTTTTGTGAGTTAACTTAAAATACCTTAGGGATAACTTCTTAAACCCCTACATGTAACAACACAAAGTTTATGCATGATCCTGCTTGTGTTTTCCAGTATTTTTTTTCCAGGGAAATCACTTCAGGAAAATACATGGTCTAAACAGTCACGTTAAAAAAAAAATTAAAAAAAATTCAAAGTAGTAATCACTAACATCACCAGTAAGGCAGTGGGAGCAGCTAAATGTTGCTGAAGGTGCCAGGCTGCAGTATGTGTGCATGTGCCCGGGGAGGAAAGAGACTTGGTTAATAGTTGTGCAGCAAAACAGAGACAATCTCTTTTGAAAAGGTATAACAATTTGCAACCCAACTTCCTATCCACAGCAATTTTAAACAGAGATAAAAGAAAAACCAGCAGCTCCTCTCAACGCATTGAGAAGTCAAGGCCCTGAAGCAGAAGTCAGTGTGCAAACCACACACACACAAATAGATGAGACTTGCTTTTGTGAAATGTTCCTTACAGACTTCACCCTATGCCAGAAGAGCTCAGTGGCAGGGACAGGCACTATCCTTCCAAAGACTCAGTAAGCTTTGGGTCAAGGTGTCTCTGTTTAAGTAACAAATTAATCTTCTACCCTTCCTCAGCAGCATAATGGTGCCATACAGTTCTGGCAGCAGACCTTTGTGCTGCTGGGAGTAAGTTTGAATGGTTTTGCTTTTACTGTCTAGCGTTAACAAAGGCATCTTTACAGTGCATCTTGGAGACAGCTAACAGTGCCTGATCTCTGACCTGGAGAAATGAAAGTCAAGATGTAAGGAAGAGCACACCCCCCCCCAAATCAGCTCATCAAGGCTGGCTCTGAACTCCAGAGCAGGCTGCCTGTGCATGTGTGGTTACTTTCTCTTCTTGCAAGTTGGCAACCTACTCTGAAAAAGAAAACATGGTCAACAGTTTTGGTTCTTCCCCCTTCCCCCCGAAGGTCTTGGCTCTGCTAATATGCACAGTGTATAACCCACATCCTACTCCTTTTACAACTGTCTTTCCTTCAGCATTGGAGCATGCACCCTTTTTTTCAGAGCTGGACGTTGGTCTGTACATGGCTTGTTGACTCCACCCTGTGGCAGAGATGGTTGGGTTTTTTGTTACTTGAAATCCAGACTAGTCTGCAAAACTGGTCTTTGGATGTCAGGCTCTCTTTCACCTTATGCTTTTCAGGTCTTAATTTAATATTGCAAAATCAATCTGATCATAAACAGAAACATAATGAGCAACTGTGAAAGGACCTAGAGTAAATCTAACCATGGTGGCTCAACTGGGATTATGTAAACCAGAGTTCAAGACCTTCAAATCCTACAGCTGTGTTTAAAAAGAAAAAAATTAAAAAGAAAATAACAAAACTCAACTAAACAAAATGTTCTAGCTAAGTAAGTGTTCTTTTAAATTCAGTCAATTGGAAAATTTCCAAAACATTGAATCTCTCTTTCTTCACCTAATAAATACATGAGTTAGCAAATAGGTTTTGGAAAAGCCAAGATTTACAGCCTTTTATTGTTCCTTTATTGTGAACCTTAACACTTAAGGAAATATAAAAATAAGGTTTAATCAACATCAATAGTAAATCTGATTTAAACAGTGAAAGAATCTGTGACCACTACTTGCTCAAATGGTGTGGACCAAGGTCAGATTTCAACCTTTCAACCAAATTTCAATGGAACATTAATGCGTGGGAGGTTCTTTGTAGGATTAAGTCTCAATGACTCAGAACTCATTCTGACAAATTACTCTAAGAGAGTAAACATTAATAACCATTACTTTATAATCACATAAGGGAAGAGTCAATGAGGAAAAAAAAAAAAAAGCATTCTGATAACCCAATTCATAAACTGGCAAGTCTCCTTAGGGCAGTGTGAATCTCTTGTTAGCTCATCTTAGACAGGGAAAGTGTATATTAACAGATAAAGTGCATTTATATATTAAAGGACTTTTCAAACAGCAGAGTTATCACAAGCTGGATGTTGCAGACAGCTTCAAACTGACAGTTGGCACTGATTTTAAACAGCAAGGATGACTGAGAGCTAAGACAGAGTTCCAGGCACGATGGCAGACTTTGTTTCTCTCACCCTGCTGCTGAGTTAAGTATCAAAAACTTTTTAATGCCTTAGTAAAAAACATGTTGCAGAGCTCAACAGATGACACAGTGGGCAGCCATGTCAAGAACATTATTACAGGCTTAAAGATTATTTCCAGTTTTAGGAACTTCTTATCGATTCAGTTCTTCTTCCCTGAAGCTTTTAGGAAAGCAGCTAAAAGTTCTGTTGCAACCCAAGCACACATTCCTGGTTATGTTGAAGGAGTTTTATGGGGCTTTTTGTTGTTGTTTGGACTTTGTTGTTTCTTTTTCCTCTCCTCCGAGGTATTTTGAAGAAGCTATGTATTTTCTTTTAGTGGTATGCTTTAAAAAAGAATCAACATTTTGTTGTTATCATCTGGGGCTCGGTGTATTCATTCCTAACTCCAAATGCTTGTGCAGCTGTCTGGATACCAACAGAATGAATGTTTCATCCCTCAGTTACCTAGGAAAGCTGAGAAACACACTCACATATGACCAGGATTGGGTACCTCTCAGAATCTCCTCCTATCTGTTATTAGGATCATTTCAAAAGAGAAAGAATTTTCATAAAAAGTAGTATTTTCATAATGATGCAAGTTTCAAAAGGAGACCACAGGAGGCTGCCAAACACAGAAGTGCTTGGCATCAGGAATGCTTTTAAGGATAGAGAATGCTTTGTAGCACTGGGTGAGGTTTCTGAGTGGAGCAGGGGGTTCTGCTCCCATATATTTCAGTAGGATTAACTTGACTGAATCCCAGATAACTTTGAAAACCACTTTTCCTTCTGGCACAGTAAGCAGAAAAAGGAAACCACACCTTAATGAAAGTACATTATCTTAACTACCCCAGGACATTTATGTATCACTCTCCTTAAAGCTTTACAAATATTTATCATGGCAGCTGGAACTGACAAGAAAGCTTTATAATAGTAATAGTATTTTAAAGCACTTATTCTCTCCATCCCCTCTTTTTGGAAGACAAGAGAAGAAAAATAAAGCTTTTAAAATGCCGTTCTCAAAGGCTGTTCTACATGCTATGAGTTCACTTCAGTTTCTGCCAACTTTGAGAAGATTTCTTGAGGCAGTTTTCCTGATTTAAAGGACGGGGGGAAAAAAATCCCCAAACTGGTTGATTTTCAGCATAAATAAATCTAAAATCCAGCAGCATCAATGACATTTTTCCATAGCTAATGGTGGAATGATACTTGCAAAATGAAGATGTAACAATAAGTCCTAATAAATATCACAGCTTGGAAAGAAGGCAAGTTTTGTTCACTCTCCTCCCCCTCACCTCAATCAACAGTCTGAGTTAATATATTTCACCTGGTATCACAAACCTTTCCTCCTGATTTGCAGTTTTGAGGGAATGTGGTCTTTCCAACCAAGACTGTAATTTCCCCCCCTCCCATTTCTATTTATTTCATACCTTTTTTTAGACAAAGGAGACATTGGTTATTGCTCACATGGTTTGTTTGCTTATGCTTTGAACTAGAGGTAAATTCAAGTGAAGGAGAACTCTTGTCATAATTTTTATTAGCTTTTATTCTATTCTGGGGAAGAAAGAAGTTTTTCAGATGGGAAGCCTGTAATGTTCTGGTTTGGATGGCTATTTAGACACCAAGAATTCAGAATTTTGTTTAAATGTTACTGTCTTCTTTCCCACCCCCCCCAATATTTTTTTAAGAGCAAACACACATCCAAGTAATAAGGTTTTTTATATACATTGCAAAAAAAGTATACCAACAGCTGGAGGGTGATGGACAGGACAATATGTTAGCTAATAATACTGCTCCTTTACTTAGCCAGGTGGGAGGTCACTGACAGCTCAGCAAGACATAAGCTACCATCATCATTTGTTTACTCACCTAGTAGGTGCTTGAGGAGGTTGAGGTCCAGTTTACCACCCCTTGGCATCAAAAGGATGATTTAAAAGCTCCTGCTTGCACTCCTGCAGGCTGAGCTCTTGATTTTGCAGAAAAAAAAAAAGCAGCCTTAAAGAATGCTTGCAAGAACTGGCTGTGTGAGAGCAGACTCAGCTGAAAGCAGGGAAATGGGTCCTCTGCCCATCTTCTTGGTGATGTGAGACACAGGAAGATCATCTAAGTCTTACCTGTTTCCATGACTCAAAATCAGGCTAAGGAAAAGTTTCGGTACAGATAACTTCCTGTATTCAGAAGGCAACTGGATTAGGGATATTTGATTTTTTTCAATGGCATAGATAAGTAAAGCTGTCTTGTGGCTTTATTTTATTTGACAACATCTGTTTCCAGGGATTTTTTCCTTCTCTCAGCAGTTAATGTTATTCCTGCTCTTCTTTACATGCCCTGCCCAAGACACCAAAGCAATCCTCTTGTACAGAACATTAATTGACACCACATTTTTTTAAAGTGCAGAGAAGAAAAAAAAGTCACCTTGTTTTAATAAATTAATCCACAAAACAGGTCCAACAAGCTGAAGTGAAATACATGAGGGGTGATTCCACAGCCAGCAAAGCAAGGATATTAAAAACCAAACTCACCCGTAAAAAGTCAGACGCAGGAACCCAATCCTGTGGCCAAGTTTAATCAACTCTCCCTGCCTAGCAGCAGCTCCTGTCAGCAGCACAATTCCTACTTTCTTTAGGGTGCAAAGCCACTTGTATGCACTTTTATCATTGTACAGGACTTCTTCAAAAGGTATTTTGGGAAGTTGTAGGTCTGAGCCCCAGTACTGGCATTCTGAAAAGGAAGAATGAGAGAACCAAGTCTTTAGCTGTTGTAGCACCAAAGCTGAGGACATAGTAAAAATATGATGTCAATACAATTTCTGTGCCACCAATCCTGAAACCTGAAACTGAGTCCCTGAGTTTGCATGGTTAGCAAACAACCTTTATGAGGAAATTCAGCAAAACATTGCAGTAATGAAGTTTTAACTCAGAAGTTGAATGAGAGGCCATTTGAAAGGGATATTTGTTAACAATACACCCAAAATGTGCATATCCATTTTTCTGCCTGCACTGGGGAACCACAAGAGTGAAAATCTGAAACTAAGACTGCTTTGAAAGTTTCTTGTTCAGGGTAAAATACTAGAGTGCCCTCAGAGGTGTTATTATATGGATAAATAATAATGAAAAGATTACATTCATAGAATCATAGAATGGTTTGGGTTGGAAGGGATCTTAAGAACATCTAGTGTCAGCCTCCCTGCATGGGCAGGGACACTTTCCACTAGACCAGGTTGCTTCAAGCCCTGTCCAGCCTGGCCTTGAACGCTTCCAAGGACAGGGCATCCACAACTTTCCTGAGCAACCTGTGCCAGTGTCTCACCACCCCCATAGTGAATAAGTTCTTCCTAATATCTAATCTAAATCTATCCTCTTTCAGTTAAAACCATTACCCCTCATCCTATCATTACATGCTCTTGTAAAAAGTTCCTCTCTAGGTTTCCCACAGGCCCCTTCAGGTACTGGAAGGCTGCTGTATTCCTGGTGATGGAAGAGAAGACACTCATCAATATAATAGCCTAGGAGCAGAGTAAATCCATCAATTGCACAAGTGACCAATCAGTTTTCTTTTGTAGACTTGTCTTCATGAAATCAAATTCTGTTAAACTCTGCAGGATGGTATCAGTCCTTGGTTTTGCCTCTGTGGGGTTTTTGTGAAATTTTCTTATTTCAGGGAGATGCAAAGGAGAGTCCAATATATTAGCAAAACCAAGCACTGCCAGAAGGCAAAGGAAATGATTGAAAGACTGAGTAATGAGCAAGTTCTTTCATACCTATTGTTAAACAAAATGGATTATAAGAGCATGTGACAATACAAGACTGTTAGAACTGCTGTACAATAATCAGACATTTGCCTGCTGAATAGACCTTGTGACATAAAAGTTTGAAATCTGCAGCCTGTTAGAGGCAGGTGTATACTTGCAAGACAATGGTTTTCCTTCAGATTATTTGCTGCTTCCCTCTTTGTCTTCTCAAGCCAGCAGCAGCTGCATGGCATACCATCTATGTTTGTAAAAGTAGTGAAAATTATGCAGCTTGAAAATTAGGTGTTGCTTAACCTTTTATGTATTTACAGCTGCCCAAATACAGCTAAATCTGTATCTTTCTCTCTGGCAATATATCTACATCTCTATCTAGAGATTTTTTTTTTTTAATTAGTCTAATTCTTATTACTACTTTCTAGCATCACAGTTCTGCAACCGTTATTGGTTTTGATTTAGTATTGCTTTTTAAAAAATCTCATAACCTACCCTAAAGCAATCACATTCTGGTTGAGCTGGAGAGTTCCCAAATAAGTAAGTCACCTAATAGAGAGAGAGGAAATAAAACTAAAATACTGGCTTGCAACTAGAAAAACTCCCACAAATACTTTCTTTTAACTATGTTCTTTTCTGAGGAAGAATGTACTCTGGTGTCAGACAACATGGTCTTACAATAATTTTTAAAGATACTCTACCAAAGAGACTTAGCTATTTCAGACTTTTTTGGGGGTATTAATAATGGTACGTGTCACCTTGCAGAATGAGGACATGAGGTGTGATCTGCTCACTCAATCTGAAAAGCAGTACTGGTGGCAAACACAAGACCATTTAGACATCTACACCTGCCCTTTGGAGTCACTGTAACCCACAGTAAATATGAAGGTCCTATTTCAGGTTTACACTCCGCATATACAACACTGCTGGCCTCCTTGCTCTCTTTTCACTAAGTTCCACTTATAGTATCTCATAAACTTGCCACCTTGTCAGTTTTTATCCACAAGTAGACACACACACACAGTTATAGGTACAGAGGAAAAAATGCTATTTCTTACATTTTGTTTTGCATAAATTTTGCATTGATTATAGTATACTGCAAAACTCTAAACATTAGTTTAAAACCAAGCATTCTATTAAATGTTGAAGCAGAGCTCCTCTTTTTACAGTAAAGACATAACTGGTTTCCCTTTGAAGTATTTCATCTGAAGCAGCTTATTCTTTAGCGAGTGCACAATAGAGCATGAAAAGATTTTATCTATTCCATTCAATAATTGTTTTGCTTAAATCACCTCTAATTTACTTGGTACTTTAGCTGATCTTCATTAACTTGTCCAATCATCAATCACAGAGATTACATATTAGAAATGAGACCACAAACATTTGAAACATGTAGATGGCATCATTTATAAAACACCTCTACCTCTCTTTATTCCAACATCTCTTCAAGAGACAGGACCAATAAAAAACATCATCTAGTTCAAGCAGCTTTCAGAATGGAGCTCTGGGGAATCCCAGAATCTGGTGACTGAGGGATCTGTTGCATTGCAGAGATATAAAGAGCCAGGTTTGGGTTTGTTTTTTTTTCCCCTCTCTAGTCTAGATACAGGTAGCAAGTACAAAATACAACCTGCTCATAAAAGAGCTAATCCAGACACTACCTAGTTACAAAAGCTTCCAACAGTTGCAAACTCTGCAAATTTCCAGTCACTAGTTTACCTCTCCCCTTTGGCTAAGGATAGTTAGAGACTGTCCAAGAAACACAACATATGTACCCAAAATATAAGCTATCCACATAGACCATCTTTTATACCCTACCCTGTCTTTCCAAGAAGCTGTATGTGACTGACAAGCTGTTGAATTTCACAACATGTTCACAGAATGAAAAAAGCACAGTCCTTGAGGAAGGATATAATCTCACTTGCTTAAATTCCTTTTCTGAGACCACTGCATGGCCTGGTACTTACTGCTCCAGTGTGTTTAATTCAATATACATCCTTTCACACACTTGAAGGATGGGGAAAAAAAATAAAACATGATTGTTTTCCTTTTTCTGTATTAAAAGTTATGAAAGTAATTTAGCTTTAGGTGTGCTGCCTGACCTGCCAAGAATATTCTTTGAAAGACAAATTTAAGCTTCAGTATTGGTGCAGGTAATGAACAATGTGAAAACTAATGGAATATTTAAGTTTCAACTTTTTCTTGCTAGTATTTCTCACTGTCTTGCTAGTAACATTTTCCTAATCTTCCTTACATAAAAAAAAGGCACGAAGGAGTATTAGTATTTCAAGGAATATATCAACAGATTTTTCCCAACTTTGGCAAATAAATATATGCACCTGGAATTCAACTGCATCTCCATAAGCCCCAGGCTTCCCTGAGTACATGGACTGTAAAATCCTCCTGTTCAAATTCCCAGTTCCCATTGTGCTTGCTAGAAGTTCCACCTAATATGGGACGTCCTTTCTGCAGCCAATGGACATGGACTGTGGTGTTGGGTTTTGGGGTGGTTTTGGCTTTTGTTGCAAACACCTGCTTTGCCACAGCATTGCAAAACAGCTCAGCACACCTGTCTGGGACTCTCCTTGAGTTTGGTGTAACAAATCTGCCAACCCTATAGCTAACCTGTGCAGAACATTCAAGGAACACCAACTCTTCCTCCCAACCAGGCCTCTGCACAACCTGGCTCCTCCCAACCTGGCCTCACATCTCCAACTCCATGGAGCCAAGGGAGACAAGACCTCCATTCAAAATCCCTCTGGTAGAAACTTGCAAAAGCAATCTTTTCTCTGTGTAAAAACAGTAATCAGTAATGTTAATCCTGCTAAAATATTGGGAATTTATCCCCCCAGACCCTACAGTGTACCCAGGAGCCAATAAAGATGTTTAACCTCTACAGTAATGATGTATGATGAAACTATGATGTGAAAATTGCAAAATGACAAGGAAACTGCACTATTCACTCATACTCTTCAGGAAGCTACTGAAACTGAGAAAATGTTAAAGCAAAGCAGCTTCCTAGGCCTTTTTTTTTTTTTTTTCTCTTAATTTTAAGTTTATATACATTGTATTAAACAAAAAAAACCCCAACCAAAACACCAAACCCAAAACCAACCAAACAGAAAAACCTCAACAAAAATCAAACTAAATGAGAAAGTGGTAAATATAGCCAAATCCTGCCTGGCAAGGCTACAAACCCTGTCCTCAAAGTTCCAGTTTCCTCTCACAAGTTCACTTCCAGTGACAAGTGCAGCCAGCATCCTTAGTGCTTTGGGTTTGTTTTTCTTTTTTAAAGGTGCAGGCTGGTACACAAATGCTTATAAATCCTACCTCTTGTTTCAGAGAAGAAAGGCTCCAAGTTCCCAGCCCTTCAGCAGCATCCTGATCCAGCCAAGAGCTTAGTCTTTGAGCTACTGCAGGAGTAACCTTTCCCTCTCTGACATTTGCCAAGGTACTCTGTAATGACACTGTGGTAAATATGCCAAAAGCTGACAAATGCATTGAGCACAGCTCCAAGCATTACTATTTCTGGGAAATGTGCAGCAGTTGGTATCTGTTAGGAAAAAAAACCACACAGTGCAGTTTGTAAAGTTTTGCTACTAAAAAAAAACATTCACTTTATTTATTAAAATCCTCTTTTTAATTTGAAAAATTTAATGGACTCTCTGAGCTCAATTTTTTACCTATTCTGCAGAGCATTAAGAAAATCTGTTCATATATCTACACGTGCATTTGTGTAGTGATGTACCTACTGTGAACATGGCAAACAAATGGTTCTTTCTCTTTCCACACCCTCTGCTCCCATCACTTGGATTTCTTAGATGCTTCTAGATCACTAATCATGTACAGTGCTGTCCACTGAACACTTTGTAGTCTTTCTGTATGTGTTGTGCTCAGAAATGGCCCACACTATGGAAGCCTTACTCCATAATAGGATCAGTACCAGCCATACTCTGTGCTGGGACCATTACTGTTTCAT